CCACAGGCAGGGAGCTGGATGGGAAGCGGGGCTGCCGGGATTAGAACTGGCGCCCATATGGGATCCCGGGCGTGCAAGGCGAGGACCTTAACCACTGCGCCACCGCGCCGGGCCGTGGGCACTCAATTTTTAAGGAGACCAGTGTTGATATCTAGTTTTACTCTGGGAGACGAGTTGGGTTCTATCCTCCCGGACTGCATCTGGCCCAACCATTGCAGCCATCTGGGGAGTGAACCAGAAGATACAGGCCTGGCTGGCCTCAGGTGCTCCCTGCCTCTCTCCCTCTGTCACACTGCCTTCTAAGTAAATCATTTTTAAAGATCCAGTTTTATCTCTGTCATCAACAGAATTTTTCTAGAATCACACATGTAAACCAGACAGCAGATCAGAAATTCAGCATGAGGGGACAGAACTGGATGGAAAAAAAAAAAAAAAAACAAGAGGTGCTGGGAGATCGATCAGAGGAACAAGAGATTTTCCCACTAGATTCAGCTATTTCATTGCAGTGCAGTTACACTTTTTTCTCCTTTAATCTGATACATGGTTCCGCTAGACTACTAGGCAAAGTCAATAGGATATTATTTGAATGTTTTTCCTAAATTATTTATTTATTTATTTATGGGGGGGGTCAATATACAGAGAGGGAGAAGCAGAGAGGAAGACCTTTGCTGTCCATCCATTGATTCATTCCCCAAGAGGCTGCAACGGCTAGAGCTGAGCCAAGCAGGAGCCAGGAGCCTCCTCAAAGTATCCCTCATGGGTGCAGGGTCCCAAAGTCTTGGGCTGTCCTCGACTACATTCCTAGGCCACAAGCAGGGAGCTGGATGGGAAGCAGGGCTGCTGGGATTAGAACCGGTGCTCATTATAGGATCCTGGCGAGTGCAAAGCAAGGACTTGAGCTGTTAGGCTACTGCACCAAAGTTGTTTTTCTAAAAAATTTCTATCCTCTGCACTACATATAAGGCAGAAGCATGTGGTGTTCCAAAACAGACACTGCTACCTGAAGATATCAACAGACAACTTAGGATTTCTAATACCAGGACTGCCTAGCACCAGCCTAACGCACAAGAGGAAAACAACCAACATGTAAACAAAAGACATTTATCTTCACCCATGCTGAGAAACCAGGCCAGTACAGACTCCTCAGTTAATGTCCTAAAAACCTGGACCTGCCTCTTGTGACAAATGCTTAGGAACAACTCATTCTAAACACTTAAACGTCACAAATTACTTCAGGGTCACTGTGAGTTTAAAATCTTACATAACTCTGAAGTGAACACCTAAAGTTAGTTACATTTTAAGCTATGCATATTTTACAGTTTTTTAAAGTATCAATATGAACTCTCCTTTGTATCCTACTTGTGAAAAAATATATACAAATCCAATAAATAGCTAAAAATATTATTAGAATCAAAAGAAATTTCTGACCTTTTATGAGATTAGATGTTCTCCATTTCCAAAGCGTACGTAAAAATGAAAAAAAAAAAAAAAAGGGCTTCAATGCAACAAGGCAGGTTTCGTTTTGACATGATTCTAACTAGAAAATAAAACATTATGAAGTATCGGACAAATCTTTGTCCTTGGATATAACAGGATGATGGCAATCTTGGAGGGGATCAAAGTAATTCCACAGGAACAGTGCAAATAAACTAGAAAATTCCGAAAGCCAGCTGCCAATGTAGAATTCAAAGTTCCATCCATATTCAGAGCTGCAAAACACGCCACCAGAGGACACACAAATGTATAGTCTGGCTTCGACATCATGTTTACTTCACCCACACCCTCACTCACCTGAGCTGAGTAACTCTACCTCTGTGAGGGGCAGTTCTACCAGCCTCCAGCAACACACTCCCAATGCAGACATAAACACTACACAAATGCTCAAGCAAAAGCAACACTCGGCTCTAAATTAAACAAACGGGTACACAATTTTGTCAATGTAAGGATGAGAAATCTGTGTCAACAGGGTAAACCATCCATAAGCCCAAACATTCAATTTAGTCAGTTTCTCAAAAATCACAACAAAAAAACAAACTGTTACTTCTGAGAATAAAGGCATAATCTTTGGAACTTGGGTTTCATTTGAGAAGACTCAAGGTCTGTGTTTTAATGATTTTTAATTGACAGCATTTTTGACAGTCATCATACAACTGAGTGGTGGTTATTCATGACAACTAAAAGCAGACCTGTAGGAAGTCACAGCTTCACCACCACAGCGAATTCAGAGTTGTCTGCCAAGGTGTACCAGGACTAACTCAACAGAAGCACAAGTTAGACATTAAATGACATTTAATATAATTCTAGACTCGACTTATTTCAGCAACACACCCACAAATACTTTTCTGAAAGATTTATTCATTTATTTGAAAGGCAGAGTGGTAGAGAAGGAGGGAGTTTCCGTCTGTTGGTTCACTCTCCTCATTACCACAAGGCCAGGGCTGGGTCAGGCCAAAGCTAGGAGCCAGGAATTCCATCCGTGGGTGGCATTTAAGCCATTCAGTTTCCTATCCAGCAGGGAGCTGGATTGCAAGTGCAGCAGCCAGGACACCAGTGAACACTCTAGCTATGAGATGATGTTAGTGACTCGAGTAGAAGCTTAACTTGCCACAACACCACACCAGCCCCAAGAAACACAAATATTTTGATCAAATGTGCACGCATGTATGCATGTATATATTTAACCGGATTTTATTTGTTATGACAGGTGCTTAAAAAATTGTCAGAACAATTTTAGCCATGTTGCCATAAGAATCAAAACATGGTATTAGAAACTAACCAGCTTTTATAAGAAAATAATGCTTTCAGCTCAAAAATCATTTTTCATTTTTTACCAGAGAAAAGAACATTTTCTGTACAGCCAAAACCTGAGGTAATGTTGAATTACCACTTTAGTGGCTGGATTTTTAGGGACTTACTGACTTCCAACTAAAGTATTTTTTAATGGCTCACTTCTTTGCTCACAATGGTATTTTACACAGATTATAACATGCCATCAGTACACCTGCTACCTCATGTCTTTGAGCTTAACAATTTATTTAAAAACTCAAATACAATTTTTATAATCTAATTAAATTTTTGAGGCACCTTTTCTTACTCACACTGGGCCTCACCTTTTATTTCCTAGTTGTTACAACATCTAAAAACAAGCAATCTTAGATGTTAAACACACATACCTCAAGCATATAAAATTCATTACATTTGTTTTGGAGCCACAGTAACTGCACTAATGAAGACTGATCCTGAAGAACCAAGAACTTATTAGAGCAGTGTCTAAATGGACGATTCACAAAAGGGTAGTGAGAAACGAGGCTCCTCCCCCACCACACTGGCAGCAACAATAAGCCAAGTTTACTATGCTGAACAAGTGTAAACAAGGAAGAAAAAGCAGGGGTGTGAATCAGGCAAGAAAGAACAACTGTCAAGTTAAAACTTCTAAATTTCACCAAAGGTATTCTCAGTGTGTTCAACAGCAACTTGTCACTTTCTTGTCTATTTCTACACCACCGGATGGAGTTCGTAAGACTACAGTTGGCTCTATCTGTGTCTGCCTGGGATCACCTGGACATCAAAAGATGTCAAGTGGTGATCACAAATGCTTACTTAATTCTAAAGACTATGTACTGGGGGGAAAATAAAAAACTCAAAACACTTGGAAATTAAAAACCACTCTTGCTGTAATAACTGACTTGAAAGATAAAAGAAACCAATCAGGAGGGAAAAAAATTACGTATCACCTTTGCCACATCCTCAGTTACAAGGTACCCATTAACAGGTGAGCATCACATGGGACAGGCTTGGTGTGGCACGGCTTCCAGACTCTCTTCTGGCATTGCCTGAGGCATTCAGTGGACATGGAATCAAGCGAAGGATGGCTGGGCAAGTGACGCCAAGAGCAGCAAGAGTCCATAGGCCAGGAGACTGTGTGCCCAACACGAGGGCAAAGGGCACACACTCCATTGCTTTATCCCCAAAGATATAAACGAGCTGCTTCACCTGAAACGCTGTCAAAGGAAGCCAAATGTCCCCACTCTGTCCCTCACCCTAAGTGAACTCAACAACCTCTTCTCATAACAAGGGGAAGTTTTGCTTATCAAAAATAGCAAGTGCAGCTTCCAAAGCCAAGAAACACTCCTTGACCAGCCAGAGCCTCCTGCCCCAACTCTGTCTTCTAGGAGGGTAACCACAAACTCATGAAAACTTTTAGTTCCCAGCTTAAGCCAAGTTCACTGCCCCGTCAGGTAAGCCCCCTCTCCTTTCCAGGTATTCCGGAGACCTCTCCCCAAGTTTTCCACTCCTCCCAGGGTTAAGCCCCGGCCCAGCCCAACACTCCACTACTCCTCCACTAGACCTACAGGGAGATTCTCACTCCTCCCTCTTACAACTCTTCCCAAAATACCCGCCCTCACCACAGTCACCTGTCTGCCTCCATAACATTCTTCCCCTCTTCCTGGCTTATCCACAAATTACCTGTTCTCAGCTCCCAACTCTCAAGTGTCTTCCATGCCCTGCGTTCCTCCACAGCGTCCAATCCAGAGTTTCCTTCCATTACTGTCATCCTTAGCCCCTAACTCTAAACTCAACCTTCCTCCTCCAGCCACCCCCCAAATTCTTGCAAACCCAGACTTCCTGCGTTCTATACTCAGAGCCAACAGCACACGCTTTTCCTCCCAGGTGTATCACCCGTGCGCCCCTGTCCCAAGTGTTCGCTCCCCGTTCCTCGACCCTGAGTTCTCCGCAGAATCCCCCCGGGAATTCGCTCCCCCCCCCGACCTCTTCCGTGGCCCTTAGCTCCCCCTTGTCGCCCCGCTCGGATCCCCAGGTTTCTGCCCGTGCCTTTTTCAGGGGGAGGGGGACTCCTCCATTCGCCCTCCCCGCTGCAGGAAGGGAGGTCCACCTCGCTGCCCGCCTCAGCCCGCCCAACCGCAGGGCTCCGCGTCCCTTCCCTTCCCCTCGGGGCCCCGAGGCCGCTGCCAGCGCCGGCGCGGCGGGGGCCGGCTCACCAGTTGGTCATGTCCAGGAAGAAGGCGCAGCCGGCCGGGTTGAGCTGGAAGCCTAGCAGCCTCTGGAACTCGGAGATGAGCACGTCCTTGTCGGTGGTGCCCAGGCAGCTGAACTTCTGCATCAGCTCCGGGTCCAGGTCCACATCCATGCCCTCCATGGCCGAGCCGGACACCCGCTTCCTCGCCTCCTCACAACCGAGCCGCCGCCGCGCCGCCGGGCCCGGGGACCGGGAGGGGGCCCGCTGGTGTCGGGCGCCGCAACCCCTCTCCTTTCCAGTAGGCCCCGGGCCTCTCACCACCTCATAGGGGTAAACTCACTCAGCCACTCACTCACTCGCGCTCCCCCCCCTCCCACCCCCCCCAGCGCCGCCGCCTCCGCCGCCTCTCGCTCGGCCGACGCCTCCGCCTCCTCCCGCGTCGCACCCACTGCGCAAGCGCCCCCCGGCCCCGCCCCTTCCTCTGCCGGATACCCGCCCCTCAGTGGCGTCACAACCCCGTGACGTCCCCCGCGTGACCTCACCGCGGTGGGGCGAGGGGGCGGGCCTGGGGTGGGGAAGGAGGCGGGTCGGGCCCCGCCGCGGGGGCGGCTCTTGGGCAGACCGAGTCCCTGCCCGGCCCCGACCCTCCAGAGGAGGAGCCAGAGCCTGGGGATTCAGGGGAAAACCTTGAGATCTTCGGGTATGACTCCTCCGCCATTTTGCAGGTGAGTAAACTCCAGTCTGACGACAGGCAGACCCTGTGGGCAACATCAGCTGGGAAGCTGCGCGTTGGGCTCAGCCCCTCAGCCGTGGATCTGCCCCTCGCACTGGAATAACTTGTCTGCTGAACCTTTTCCCCACAGGGATGCTGCCATAAATCCTACTCTTGGTGCTGATGATTTCTAGTGTACCAGCTGTTATGCAACAGTGGTCTCTGAGAGAAAACAAACGTGACCCCGACACAGACTTGAGCCGCTGGTCCAGACGAACACCACATAAACCCCCCACCCACCCACTTTACAGGAGTGACTCCTCCAAAACTGAAACCAAGTCCTGAGATGGTGGCATGCCTTATCTGTTTTTAAGATTGAAGGCAGAATATTAACTGTATGGTACTGCTCAAGCTCCAATCTGAAAATCAAAGAATTAGGATGTGTTCTAACACCTAGATCCCCCCGCCCCACTGTAGGTCCAACCTAGACCGAGGAGGTGGTGAATTAAGATGGGGCCTCCTGCCTTCCAGGATCTCTCTGTTTTACAGACAAGGAGTCTCAGGGCCAGAGAACTCTGCATATCTTGTCCAGAAATATTAGAGCAGGGAAACTTCCTGGCTCTTCATTAAATATGTTTCCCGTTACAAGTGAGCAACACAAGGCTGGGATTCGTGACCATTTGTCTAGGGGAGCCAGGAGGGTTTTGGGGAGGAAAAATATTTTACTTTCCTATGACCAAAAAAAAAAAAAAAAAAAGAGTACAGATACAGAGGAGGACAAAATGGCGGCCTTCCAGTGAAGACACCTGTTCGGTTCCATATCTGAGATTCTAGGCTTGGCACAGGGCTCCAGCTGCTAGTGCACACCCTGGCAGAGTAGTGATGGCTCAAGGAGTTTTTGCCACTCGGATAGGAGACCTGAGTTGAGTCCCCCAACTCTTAGCTTAGCCCTGGTCAGTACAGCCATTTGGGGCAATCAACCAGCACATGGAATTTCAATCTCTCTCAAATAAATAAAAATACAAATATCTTAAGAAGACTAGTTTCTGGATCACACACATTTAGAACACTGATTCTTACTCTGCCCACCAGGTTGGTTTTGAGCCTTGAGTTGACAGTTCATGAGCTCAGCACAGTGTTCTACCAAGAGCCCTGAGTGAAGGTGCTGAGGTTCGGGGCTGTACACCTGGGAAGAGGGCTCTGGACTCACATAAGCTTCAAAGGGGCTTCATCTGCCTCCTTCCCCACTTCATTTTCCTTCCTGATCCTCCACTAAAATACATAACACATGCCCTTGATGTCTTTGATGAGCTCCTCAACACCTGAACATTTTAGGTGAAACACAAGTTGAACAGTGTTCAGTTATCAAATTTGTTCTGTAAAGTTAATTCTAGACATTTTATAAAAAATTGATGGGGCTGTCTGGAGCTCTTTGTAATTCTGACTTTCAAATAAATAAATCTTTTTTTTAAATAAAAAAAGCTGTTCTTGAACCGCTTGGGTCTGTGTGGAGTTTTTTTTAAGATTGATTTTATTTTTATTTCAAAATCAGATATACAGAGAGGAAGAGAGACAAGAGGAAGATCTTCCATTGAATGATTCACTCCCCAAGTGGCCACAGTGGCCAGAGCTGAGGCAATCTGAAGCCAGGAGCCTCCTCCAGGTCTCTCACAAAGGGTGCAGGGTCCCAAGGTTTTGGGCCATCCTCGACTGCTTTCCCAGGCCACAAGCAGGGAGCTGTAGGGTTGCTGGGATTAGAACCCATATGAGATCCTGGCGCATTCAAGGCAAGGACTTCAAGCTCTTAGGCTACCGCGCAGGCCCGTGGAGGTTTGAATAATTGCCTAAATTTAACTTTTGGGTGCCCACAATGTTGGTCTATTACCCTGATAATAAGGAAAATTCAGTCTTCCTCAAAAGTGAACACATACTTTCTTTTTTAGTTTGGAGACATCTATTTACCTAAAAGCAGAGTGGCAGAAAAAGATCTTTCCAACCACTGGTTCACTCCCAAATTGGCTGTAACAGGCTGGGCCATGCAGAATCCAGGATCCAGGAATTCCAACCAGGCAACAAGAGGGACTCAAGTCTTTGAGTCATCATCTGCTGCTTCCCAGGCACATTAGCAGGGAGCTGGATCAGAAGCAGTCTGATAGGGAATGGAACCAGGTGTTCCATGCCAGTGGTTAATTCATTCCACAGAGACACCAGGATAGGCTTAATCTGCTTGTTCTGGGTATTTGGGGAGTCAACCAGCAGATGTATGAGTGTGTGTGTGTGTGTTTGAATCTGCCTTTCAAATAAGTAAATCTTTTTTTAAAAGTTCTGTTTCAAGGGCAACTAAGAATTGTTGGCTGGTCCCAAGCAGTACTAGCACCTTAGTTCACACCCAAACAGTCCACACAATACCGTGCAAATAGGAAACCTGAATCATACAGAATTCTGTCCAAGGTAAGACTTATTTCAAAAAGTTACAGCTATTGTACTCCTCCCGTGAATTCTGAAACTTGAGGGAGAAATGTTTTGATTCTCATGAGACTGGGAATGACACCTTGGTACCTAACTCCCAGAGGGTCAGGGATGATAAATATCTATAATAAGTATCTAGAGCACTCATGCTCAGTGAAGAACAGTCCCTCCCTGTCTTGACCAGTTTGGGCTGCTACAGCAAATGCTATCAAGTAAGTGACTTCTAATCCACAGAAATTTATTTCTTGTTCAACCTCAGGGCACCTACAGATTTAGTATTTGGTGAGAGCCCCTTTGATTACATGTGTTATATCATCATAAGATAGAAGGAGATAAGGCAGATCTTTGGGACCACTCTGATAGGACATTCATCTCCTTTACAATGGCTCCACTCTCAAGACCTCCTCATCTCCCAAGGCCCCACCTCCAAAAATCATCGCTTTGGTAATTAGGTTTTATAAAAGATCGATTTATTAATTTGAAAGACAGTGATAGAATGTTCCATCTACAGGATCACTACCCAAAGCCCACAAGAGCCAGGGATAGGTCAGACTAAAACCAAGAACCAGGAACTCCATCTTGGTCTCCAAAATGGGTGGCAGGAATCAAAATACTTGGGCTGTCATCCACTGAGTCTGGGGACTGTTAGCGATCCAAAATGTGGAGTAGACAGGGCTTGAATTGGGCACGGTGATATGGGAAGTAGTTTAACCCACTGCACCACAAGGCCTCCTCAGGTAATTAGGTTTCAAGATACAAAATTTTTAAGAACTATTTATTTGAAAGGCAGAGTTGATTTTGGGGGAGATAGGTTTCATTCTCTGGTTCATTCCCCAAATGGCCACAACGGCCAGGGATGGGCCAGCCCAAAACCAGGAGCCTGGAACTCCATTCAGGTCTCCCACATGAATGGCAGATGCATCATCCACTGCTCTCCCAGGCATATTAGCAGGGAGTTAGTTGGGAAATGGAGCAATTGGTACTTGAACTAACATTCATACGTGATACTGGCATCTCTGGCAGTGGCTTAACCCACCTAACCCACTGTGACATAGTATTTGTCCCTCAATATGTGAAATTTGAGGTTGGGGGGCAACAAACATTTAAACAATAGAACTCCTCTAATCTCTATGTAAAAACACTGACCAAGGTGGCTGGCAGCATTAGATGTGACAAAGAACCTCACCACCACTGAAACCATGCCAGTGCAGGGTGGGGCTTGAGATAGCAAAGTTTGAAAGAGAGTAAATACTTTCACTGCTGTTTCCGGGAATGCAAATTTTCACTCAAAATGGACTGATGTAAATTGGCTAGAAAAACCTTAAAAATATTCATGTGTTATAGCACCAAAATCTTAGATTTACAAATAAGTTTATTTAGCATTGTAGCCCAAATAACAGGTATAGGTGTTTGAAGAGCTACTGCTTGGGGCACTGTTAAAAGAATGTATGTACTTGAATCTTAACTTTTCTGTGTCATATTGCTTGATTACATGAGGCAAAATGCTCACATGCTAAAAAAAAATTTATTGGCATTCATTTGAGCTCAATTTTAGAAAATAGTTGTTATCCTGGTACAAGCTGCATAGTAGTCACTTTTAGTCCCAAATTAATATTAAACCATTATTTACTCATGAGGATTTCACCAGTTAAACATTTCCAAGACCACAGTTGATGCTCCTCTCCATTTGCTCTTGGCATGTGATTATACCGCACAACTGATCAATGATTTTGAGTACTCCTATTTGCTGAATGATCAGATGGAAATTACTTACATATTAATTGGCATATCCCTCTGAATAGGATAAGCATTGACTGATATTCTGTGATTGCTATTATTTAAATAAAGTGAATTATACACCTTTTTTTTTTTTTTAAAAAAAAAAGAGGGTATGTACTCATCTCACTGGTGTTTGTTTCAAAAGAATGTTTATATGCGTATGTGTAAGTGTGGAATATAGTATATGCACAGTAAAATATCTTGAGCACTACACATCAGTGGTTTAGGGAGCCAGGATTATAGCAGAATTGCCAGCTAAAATGTAAAAGAGTGTTATGGATTCATGTAGACATTTGAGCAAGTCTTGTTAACAGTTGACAGAGTAATGCTAATAGTTGATAGGTCAGGGTGAAAGCTTGATCTAGTTATGGCATCTGTTGTTATGGCTTTTGGGAAGTGATTGGGTTG